TGAATAATTCGTGCTTTTCCATCATAGTCCAATCGTTCCATCATTTCTTCGTATGTTTCGTACGGTTTTGATGTTATATATGTATCTGATTCACTCGATATAAAACAATCTGGTCTGAATGAAGAGAAAGATACGAATTAATAAAGAATAAAAAGAAATTTACGATTAAAAATAAAAGAAAAGTAAACATATATGTATAATAATTTTAATATTTTAATAAAATTTAATAATTAAAACCAAAGTATATTATTTCAATATCAATTTTTCTAACTTTGTTTTATCTATATTAAGAATATAATATAAAAATATGCACCGTGCCATCTGGGTCGATTGATGATATGGTGTTTGCGTGGATACTTCCGTCCAAGAAATATATTGCACTTTTTTGCTGCATTTTTCTTTTGAGTTTCTTATTAATGGACCTGTTTGCGACTCGGCATTTAAATATTCTACTTGGGTAATTTTATGTTTCCATCCTCCCAAATAAGGTTTTTTTATTCTACGATCCTCTATTTCTACAGAATCGTAACATACCATTTTGAAATTCTTTGAATATTGCCCAAAATGTTATAAATGAAAAGTATTCGTTTAATTAAAACGAATTAGATATTAGAAAATAATGAATTCAATGTTGAACATAGCTTTTGTTCAAAAAAAATGTTATTCATTTTTTTAAATCAATACTTACATGTTTATATTTTAATATATATATAATATAATATAATATATAATTATTAAGGATAAAGTTATTTAAATACGGTCATTAGATTATCGTTTTTATTAGACATACATCACTCTTTCACATGAATTTTGTGATTTACAAGTATTTTAATCTTTCAGTTGTTAATTTTACATTGAAATTTAATGTTTACATTGGATTTAGTGTTACAATATTTGTTTCTGTACAATACAGAATTTAATAACATATAAATCATGTTTTCCTAAAATATAGGGAATATAATATTCATAGACGCAAACAACTTAAATCACGTTTGATTAATCGAATATTATTATAAAAAAGATTGTTATCAGAATGTGTATAGCTGATGTATATATATATATATATGTATATATATATTGTATGTGTATATATATATATATATATATTCATATATTCATATATATTCAAAATGTTGTAGATATCAGTAACAAGAACTGTTAACAATTTCATTGATGTGTTACTATACAACATTTCGAGATTATATATTCTATACTTTTGTTATTTACATTTCATAACGATCTGTAAATTTCACGAACCTTATCTTCAAACAATCGACGCATTCATTCTTAATCTTCACATGAATTCACTTAAAACATACGATTTATAATAAACTATATACAAATATCATTTTCATTTTTTCATAGAAATTTATCCACAAAATATGCACGATAAATAATACATTTTGTACAATGAAGGATGTATCGTTAATAAAACAAAAAAAGGGGGAAACGGGAAGGCTTTAAAGATTGTATTAGACAAAAAAAAAGGCATCCAAAGTCAACAACACAAAAATATTTTTGCACGATTAAAGCTAAAATAAATAGTATGTAATTTATAGCATGAAATGATGGCTATTATAAATGATTTAGATCAGTTTTATCAATGGAAAATGTTGATGACACGAAAAATCAAATACTGGAGGTTCTTTAGAATCCTTTTTATGTCCATCTGCAAGTAACTTTAGAACCACAAAATTTGTCTTTGCCACTTTTAATAGATCATTAATCTGTAAATCAAAGCAATAAATAATAAATAAAACAAGTTAAATAAAAATATAAAAAAATTGGAAACTATTTACCTCATTTACAGTACTAGCATTTGGTGGATAAAGAGACAACGCTCGTTCCAACATATTTCTGGCTTGATGAAAATGACGACAGCCGGCTAAGTACAGCATTTCACTAGTAACCTTTTCCTAGGAAAATAGAAGTTAAGAAAAGAAATTCTAAATTAAAAAAATATAAAAAGGATCATTATACTCACGTTTCTTTTATGCATTTGTGCATTAGTCATATCTAAGAATTCTTGATAATGTACTGGAGGTGGCGTCAATAAGGAAGAAAAAGGTAATAACCTATGTTCATATCGAACTCGTTCTGAATCAAATGGGGACTCGGGAAGAGGTATTTTACCATCCATTCGAAAACCAACTAAAGCCTACAATGTAAATTTTATAGATAGAATTAAATTATAAATACAATAACAACATTTTAAAAACAAACATGTATTTACTTTATAATATCCTCCACATATATTTTGCATAGCTTGATACATTAATATCTCTAAGTTATATGGTCTCGATGTCGATTTTTTCTTTTTATTTTTTGCACTTTTTTTACCACCTCTGCCTTTGTGCGCATCATTATGTACATCCTGTTCCATTAAGAATGTATTGGCCCTCGTAATAGCAGATACAAGCCATCCATAAAGAAATTCATATAGATACCAAAATATATAATGATATTCATGTACTGAATATAATTCCAATTCAAAACCACTTAACAAATACATGACCATAACCCGTAATGTATGATACAAAATCCATGTTCCAAAACAAGCTAAATGTGACCTAGGTGTATCACTTTTCCATGACAAAGTGTGTAGAAATCCATCAACTCTTTCAGCCTATTAAAATTTCGAAATTACAATAATAAAAAATTTTAAATATTATATAACATAAATTCATTCTTAATCTTACTTCATCTTGCAATATTGCAAAATCATCCAATAAATGTGCTAATTTGTCTCTTTGTCTTGCTCTATTATGACCAGTAAGTTGCAATAAACTGCCAAAGAGGCCTACACAATGAGACATAAAACTATCAACATATTCTTTTGCTTGATGATTTTGAAGTAATGTGCTCTTTGGCATTAGTACTGGAGGTGCTATAAAACTTCGTGCTGCATCTTTCAAAACATCAGCAAAATTTTGCACACCAAATACCCGATTTGTTGTAGGCAAATAAACTATTTGCAGCATTGATCTGGATAATATACAGGGACTTTGTCGTGAAAATTCTAAAAAAAAGTCCTAAAAAAAAATCAGTGTACTTGGAATTTATGCCAAAAATTTCTAATGAACTATAAATCTTTTCTTACCAAAGCTGCATGAAAACCATTCTGATTAGTGATCATAGTAACTGTTCGAAACCTATTCAATAATTCATCCAAATATTTTAATGCTTCTAATCTTGGTTTTATTTTTGTATATCTTGGAAATGTAGGTGGTAATAATCTTTGATTTACCATAGGATCAAATCCCATAATATTTGGATAATTTGCTACAATTTTTATATAACACATGATTTATATATAGATAAACTATGAACTTTGGAACTTACATATTTCATCAGCTTTTTCTCCACTGTTTACTGTTTTAATCATAATTTGAATCATATAAGAACATCTTGATAATAATGTATGACAATCATTTAGATTTTGTTGCAACTGTTCTTTTTTCCCCATTAATGATAAAATCTGATAAAATAATTTAGTAAATCTAATTCTGGCATATAGTGCTAATCTATCACTATACTGAAAGAAATAATATTTTTTTAAACAATTATTTATATTTTTAACCATTCCAAAGAATTAAATATGTTTTGAAATATACACTTACTTCTTTTTCAGATATTACATGAATTGGTTTTATTCTACTTTTCCTAGGTAATTCATCTTCTACTTCTCTGAGCATAGATATGATTTTTTGTTCTGTAATATCTTGTTGTAATCTATAACCATAAGTAACACTCTGGAAATCTTCTTCTTCAAAAACTAATGCTTTATTAATGCAATCTTTAATTATTTCAATTATTTTATATACAGCATAACAAAAAGTTTTCAAAGGTTTATCCACTATTTGACTGGGTTGATGAAGGTATAGGTTAGTGAAAACTGTTTGAGCCAAACTATGGCCTTCAAGCCAAGACACTATACACGCATAAGTTGAATCTATTATTCCTATAACTTCTGATGGTGTTAAATTGTCCAATTTCAGTGCACCAGAATCAACGGCTTGTGTAAAAGTACAAGGTTTGCTGTTGCCTCTATTGCATAGCATGCCAACATCCATTTTTGGATCCATCATTTCAATTGCAGACATGGCCTCAAATAATCCAAATAACTCATCACGTAATAGTTCACCCAATTCCAACTCTATAATAATAAAAAAAATATTTTGTATTATATAAAATATGATTTGTTAATTTATATCATTAGTAAGTATAAATAAAAATCTTAATGAGCAATATTTAAATGCCAACAATATTTCATTAAATAGAATTATATATATTATTTGCACAGAATAAATATATAAATTAAAATTAAATCGTTTTGATAAATATGAAAATGATGAAATAAAAAAATATATAAAGAAAGGAAACGAAATAAAAATTGCAAAGCAAGTATTTGTAATTTGTAAAGAAAATAAATTTCTAAATAACCACCTGTAATGGCATCGAAAAATTCTTGGGTAATATCCACCCAATTGTACGTAACTTGGTCGAATCTGCAATGTAAATAGATATAAAAATTAAAAAATATCGCAAGAACCACAAATAATGTTATGCGCTAGGTTATTTTTCTTTAGCCTAATTATAATCATAATATTTATTTTTCAATATTTTCATATAATCTTAGATCAACTATAGATAATTTTTTCATTACAATTAATATATTTTAACTTACTGTGATTCTTTATCTTCACCCATATCAACCGAATTCTGTTCTTCCACCATAGTCGCCATTCTTACAGATTGACCTGTCACATTTAACAGCACTGCCAACAATATAAAAATATGTTATTCTCCTATCAAAAGATAACTTCGATTACCTTCTTTAATTCTTATAATAAGAATTATATATTTACATAGTTTTTTTTATTATTGAAGCGTAAAATCATATATATATTCTTTTACTTATTAAATAAAATATATTTACAAAAATGTATATATAAAATAAAAATAAAACTTGATTATTATCGTATAAATAAAATAGTTTTAAGAACACATTTATATTCAAACTTATTTGAATGTATATATTTTCGGTTGTTCAAAAGAAAATCCAGAGAATTGAATATGTAATGTTTTTAAACATTTCTCTTGTATTTACTTTAAAAATTTGTATTTCAAATGGCAGATAAGGTACGTAAAAATAAAATTTCACTGTATTATTATGAAAATATTTGTTTACAATTTCAAAATTTATATGAGTATTAATATATCATTTTCAGGAACTTTTAGACGAATTGAAAGTACTCCGACAAATGCAACTTGAATTGCAACAACTTTATACTTTGTTACGATTAATGAGAGTTGATTTAGAAAAAATTATAAACAACTTCACTTCGTTAAATGATAAATAATTTTTATATTTTATATTTTCAATATTACTCATAATTTAGTTATTTATAACATTAATACGTTTGTTATTAATATTTCGGAAAAATATATAAATAATATTTCTTTTAAGTAATATATAAAAATATTTTGAATATATATATATGATCTCTATTTTAATAAATTTGCAAAATGGAAAAAGATGAGCCAATGGAAGTATTATCTTTAAATTCTTCATCATCTTTGCGAAGAAAATCTTTTCAAGTAAATAATGAATTATCCCTTAATTTGCCAGAAAATAATGATGAGGCTGAGAAATTGGCTAGACGTCTTGAAATAAATGCTTCTATAACATCAACAGAAAATATAAACACAAGTAATAAACGAAAATCTTTGGGACTTGGTTTTTTAGCTCAAATGTCATCAGTTCAAGTAAAAAATCATATAAGTGAATGTATAAAACTTAGCACTGAAAATAAAATTAATATAAAAAATGCATTTAGCCTTGAAATGATTAACTTTATGTCTTATATGATAAAAAAAGAAGATGACAATATGTCTAATCTACAAACAGCCAGTACATCTTTAGATGTAAGCACAAAAATCTATGGGTTTCGTGTAGATGGTATTCATACAGAAATCATGAAGATGGTAGGTGCATCAGATAAACAAGATAATCCAATTGATAATATAAATGAATATTTAAGTAATGAGCAAGAAAATCAAATAAATAATTTCCAAAAACAGAAAAAAAGAACAAAAAAAAAAAACAGACAGATTTTTAGTACAGCAGATAGTTTAAAAGGAACTGTAGAAATTATGAAACCTTCATTGTGGATGATGGAAGATAAAGATTTACAAACTACAGATGGATTATATCAAGTAATATTGTCAAATCATGCAAATTCAAAATATTATTTACATTTATACAATGATGTTATTGTGGATATTGTACAACATAAAACAAGTAATGAAAACACAAAAATAACTATTTCAAAGATAGAAGATTTTTCTAAGTCTGAAATATGTCCACCTCTGACTAATTTTAAATTTCAGAATGATTTTTATAATAATGATAAAGAAGAAGAAGAAAAAGAAAATGAAAATGAAAATACAAATGAAATTAATGAAAATCATTTTCAATTTAATTTAAATGCTACTGTACAATCTGATGATGAAATAATTGATAATAATATAAATTATTTAGATATTCAAGATGGAATAGAAAATACAAACATATGTATTGAGATACAAAAACCAGTGGAAAAAATTGTAGACTTATGTAAAGTTTTATCTAATATTGGTATAAATAAAACATCTGAATACTCTTTTCTTCAGAAAAGTTCTAATTTACATTGGGCTGGTCCTTCTCATTGGAGAATGAGTAATTTCATAAAATATTCTAAAGAAGGAAAAATTATAGCAGCCTGTGCACAAGAGCCAGTTAAAAAAAGAAAAGAAATAGAGATATGCTATGATGATAATATTAAAAAAGCAATAATATCAAAATTTGCAATAAGTAAAGCTATAAAATTTGATAGTAATAAATTAGATTGGTCAGAAGGAAGATTGACATTGCCACGAGATATGCATTATAATATTGCAAATGCAGTTAAATTATATCTACATAAATTAATACATATAAATATTAGAAATAAGGATGATTTAAATGTAACTCATATATCTGACATAGAGAATTATAATTATGATAATGAAAATGATATGTCAAATTATTGTCCTTATGTCTTTAAAAATGATTATGAGATAAATGAAGACAATAATAAAAATGAACATAATCATGAAATTGAAAATGATGAAGTTGAAACACAAATGGCTTTTGCTGGAAATAATTTAGTAGCTGCTCCTAAATTAACAAATAAAATATCTATTGCATATAGTATATATGCCAAAAGAATAGATATGAGACAATTAAAAAAATCTATTTGGAAAAGCCTAACTGTAAATAATAATAAAGAAAATAAAAAAAATCAAGAAGAAGATAAAATTAAAGGAAATAAATCTTTTAGTGAAATTTATAAAGCATTACCTAATATATTAACAAAAACTAATATAGAAGCTTTAAGTTTTCCTATTTCTTTTGTATCCTTGTTACATTTAGCAAATGAAAAGACATTAAAAATACAATCTCTCCCAGATATGTCTGACCTTCTTATAGAAACAAATTAATTTTACACATGTAAATAAGTCTCTTTTATATATTCAAAAATTTTATTATTATTGAAGATAAGTATATAAACAATGTATTAAAAAAATTTTATTAATTTTTATTTTTTCTTATATGGTTTCTTTTTATTATTTTTCGTTAATAGTATAAGATATGATATGTAATATGCATCAAAATATTTATATTTGTAACTACAATTTTTATGAAAATTGAGATTTTAAATAAGTAATAAATACAAAAATTATTGAAAAATTTAAATCAATTTATTTGAAGAATCAATAATGAAAAATAAAACAGAATAAAATTATATTTTTAGCATATAAATTTATAAAGCATTTGATTTATATAAGATTGCTCGATTGTTTTTTATTCATTTTAATCAATTAATATTTTCAAGTCAGTAACCTATTCTTCGAATTTTTTTCTTTTCCGCATTTTATCATTTTGAAAATAATAAAAAATTATCGTCAATGATTCATATAAATCAAATATTTAAATATGATTGGAATACAACAATATTTTTTGAAATCTCTCAAGAAATGTATTTTACATCGTTTTTATCGAAATATTTCAAACATGCCGATTGACGATGAAAAAGCGAAATGTGTAAAAGATAAAGGAAATGAGCAAAAATTGAAAGAAGAAATGAATGTTAACATTAAAACTCAATTCAAAGATTATGATTCCTTTCTACCAGATCACAAAGGTGATATAAAAGTTTGTATGATAGGAGGCAGCGAATCATTGATGTATGCGGCTCTTCTTTTGAAACAATTTCGTCTCATAAAACAGATACATGTGGTAGACACAAAAAATTCATTTTCTAATGCAATTTTAGATATTAATCACATTGATACATCAACTCGTATAAAATGCTTTAAGAGAAAACATTTGAAACAAGCTCTTAAAGAAGTATATCTTTATCATTCTACTTTTATAACATAATGTTTCGAAAATCATAATCATTTAAACAATTATAAACAATATAATGAACAATGTATTGTTGATATGATATTATTACCATTAAGATTAAAATTCATGGAAATTCGATATTATTTCCAGATAAACATTATTGCATTAATGGATGAGATAAATCCCAATATAAATTTAAATCTCACTTCTCAATTTGAGGCTGTCTCTCCATATGTGTGTGAAATGGCTGAACAAATGGCACAATTTAATTCAGAATCTTTGGTAGCTGTTTTCGTTCGACCAGTTACGGCTACGCTTCCTACAGTATCAGAAATTTACAAACTTGCTGGATGGTGGGATCCAGATAGAATTATTGGTTCTACAGCGCTTGATCGTATGCGAATGGAAGCATTAACCGCGAATCTTTTGGATTTAAATCCTGCCTTTTTATCGGTCCCATTGGTTGGTGGTGCAGATTTAAATACTATTGTTCCTCTTTTATCATGTGCTACTCCAATCAATCGGTTTACCAATGTATGAAAGTATAGTCATCTACAATTGTATTAAAAAAAAATTTTACTCTATTTTTTAACATTATTAATATTAAAAATTCATGTAGGCACAACAAGATATGTTGTTACAATCATTACGTAGTGCTGATAAAGAAATGGCAAATATTGAATTGAAAAGTCCAACATTATCTGATGGAGCAGCAGCTGCCAAATTAATTCTAGCTCTTGCTGGAGGACTTAGTGGTTTTAAAAATATTATTTCTTCTGCTTATGTGCGATCAAATGTTTTGCCAGTATGCCGATATTTTACGAGTGAATTGCAATTCGGACCAGGCGGTATACAAAAAAATTTTGGATTGCCGAAAATGTCATCTACGGAAATAATGCTGGTCGAACAGGCAATTCCTTGTATTAATAAATGTATTGGAATGGCAACAAAAGCAGTTCATTATAATAGACATATCACATTGAAAACTGTATAAACTAATTTTTTCAAAGAATCATTTTATACATAAAATACATTATTTAATAAAAATTTTATTATTAGGTATAAATTAACTTCTTTAATATGAATGATTTAATAAATAAATAATAAAAAGTTAATTATAATATTATATAATAAAAATATTAATTATAATATTTTATATTCAATAAAAATAATATAAATATATATATTCGATAATATAATAATTTTATTTATATATTGTTTTTTAAACTATTTTAGGTTTTTTAAACTATTTTAAAGATAATAAGTGATATAGAAATTATGTTTATAAATAAATTCTAAATAAAATTATCATTAACATTTATTTTATTTATCTATATTTCTTTCTTATTCGTGTGTGAAACGGATATTTCTCATTTAAAATATTATATTCAATAACTTATACATAATATACATGTTGTAGTTCATATAAACCTCAGTTTGATTTGGAGTTTCAAACTGAATGGTATTTCGACTAGTTAATGCTCGTTGGCATGAATACGAACTATGGATGCGAAAATATAACACAGTATAAGTAAAATATTTGAATCGAAGATAATATTTTTACGATCAACTGGTTTATTCGTCTTAAAGTGAAAAAAAAAGAATTATTGACATCTGTTGATTCATTACATCCATTATTTTTATATACATATTTCGTGCGTGAAAATAAAATATTCATTTTTTCTAAAAATGATGACAAATCACACAGTGTTGCCGTTCAAAGAATGTTTATAAATGATTCGATCTATAAATATCAAAACAAAACGCAGAGGGATTTAAATTTGGGTCGAGTGCACATAGATCGCCCGGCTAGACTATTTTAAAATTGCGTGAATCTTTTATTTTGACATTTTATGTTTAAACAGTTTTATATTCGATAACTAAAAAATTTGTCTTTTTGTGGAACAATTTGTTAAAATTTTGATATCATGGGGATCATATTATCAAGATTTCGTGTAAGTGTGTGTCAGTATGTTAACATTAATACAATGTAATATTAATATTATTCAATTAAGGTTAACAATCTATTATATTATACTTTTTTTTGTTATATAATTACGGATATTTAAATTAGTATAATATTTTGTTTAAAAAATACAAAATTTTTTAAATAAAATGCATTAAAATTTTTTTTTATAATTAAATATAATTGAATTAAACATATTGTGTTAGTTAATAAATTTTCGAGGTTAGATAAGAAAATTTTAAACAAATTTTATTAAATATTGATATTTTCATAACTTTTTATAACATATTATATCATATAAATAGCATAAATTTTATAGCTTTTCAATTTAAGTAATCCATAATCTTCAATTTTTATAGGTTTATAACCTAAGAAAAAAAATTTAATAAAAATTATAATACTGAATGTCATCAATCACTTCATCTATAATTTATTCAGCAGAATTGTCATGTAATACAAAATTACCATTCAATGACATTATGTTTAATTTATTTAATTATTTTAAATTCTAAACTAAAACACATTATGTCTAGACGTTTATATAATGATAAACAATTATAAAATATTTTTTTGTTAAAAAAAATTTATAAGTTTATCATATACTTATACAATGTAATAAAAATTAATAAAATATATATATATATTTTTATATTTAATATTATATATATATATATAATATTAAAAGCAAAAATAATGATTTAATATGCTATACATGCAACTTCCTATAAACTTTCATATTATTATTCTATGAACATACTTGCTTTACAATTCTGAATTCATTTGAATTTAATATTTGAATTACATTTTAATTTAATATATATTTGCATATAAAGTCAATATATATATATATATAATATTATACATATTATATATTTATTTATTTTTTTATTTTTCAGAGAAAGAAAACAACAATTGAAATTTTAGAAGATCTTGATGCGGTAAAATATTTATATGTTTTTTTTTAAATTTATATTAATGATTTCAAAATGATCACAAATATTTTTGTTTAACAGAAAATTAAAGAAATAGAAAAATATGGACATAGTACGGAACAAAAACATAAAAAAATTGTTGGAACTCTAATATTATATAGTGTGATACTTTATATTATAACAGCATTCATTTTTTATTTTTATTTTTTTCCTGCATCATTATATGATCAAATATTCTATATCATTCCACTCTTAATTTTTCCAATTCTGTAAGTGTTCATTTTATTATATATTCTATTATATTTGTTTTCTTTATAAAATTATTCAGAAATTATTCACATATATTTATTATTATAGAATATTACTTACAAAAAAGATGGTAACATGGTACTATAAACGTAAAATTTCTGAAAATGAAGAGAAATTAAGTACTATGCAATTAGAAAAAAAGAAAATTTTAGATGAAGTTACAGAAACTGAAACATATAAAAAAGCTAAAGAAATTTTATTAAAGTTTGCTCCAGATCAATTATCTCCTGTAAATATATAAAAGAAATATTTAAACTCTTTTTTTTTATCTTTTAATTATTTCTAGTACTATTTCTAGATATATATTGTATTTATAATAAATTTTTTTTATTAATATATTAGTATATTAGTATATTAATAAGCTAATTAAAAAGAATAAAATCTAATAAATTAAAAAGAATAAAAAAATAAAATATTTGGTAAAAAAAACTTTTATTATAGCCAACTTATAAAGTGCCATCACGAACAGAAACACCTCAACAATCTAGTTCTCCACACAATATAATATCTCCAGTATCTCTTTCTGGAGAATTGAGAAGACGTGTAATAACAAGCCAAAATCAACCATTAAATCTACAAAGTGGTACACCCGCTAACACTGGCCTTGTCCCAGTTGGCATAACTCCCACTCAAAATCCATCAAATGCCTCCTTTCAGAGTGGTATTAAACCAGTTAATACTCCAATTAGAGGTTATCGTTAGTATTTTTAAAATTAAAATTATTATTATATTTTTTTTATTTAATATATATATTAAGAAATTATATTAAAAAATAAAAAAATATATTATTATATAATAGGAATTCCTTTGCCACGTCCGATATTACCTCGGCACAGGACTCACTTGGATCGATTAATTGATTATATTGTTGGAGATGGTCCATCTAATCGATATGCATTAATTTGTCGAAATTGTGATTCCCAC